TGGGTGGCTTTGCTGAGTGTGGACAGTGAGAGCAGAAGGCTGGGGCCACAGCACCAAATGCGGAGGCGAGGCGAGTGGAGACAGAACGAAACATCCCCCAGAAATTAGGGAAGGGCTGGTCGCTGGCATCTGGGGGGCCACCGATCCGCAGCGCGTGGGGACAGAAGCCAGGTGGCTGTGGGCCGAGGGGGCAGGAACCCAGACCATGGCTGCCGGTGAGCATTGATGGACGAGAGGGGGCCAGACGTGACAGAGATGCCAAGTCGGGGGGACGTCTGGGGGCTCAGCAGAGACAGCGGCAAACAGGAGAGCCTGGAGGAGAGAGGGCGGGAAGCATGTGCCCAAGGAGACTGGTTGTGGGGCGTGAGCAGAGCTGCAGGGGCGGCTCGGCTCTGAGGCAGGAGCCCCGCACCCCACAGCTGGAGCCGGACCACAAAGGAGCTGCAGGTGCCGCCTGCTGAGAGGGCCATTCTCGCCCTGCCCAAGGGTCCAGCCCTTCGGGGTGCACAGGGACACGGAAGCTGCCCCAGCCCTTCCAACTGTTCAGGAGAAGCCAGAAATCTGTGCTTCTGTGTGGAATGTGCTGATTTTCCAAAACGATGATCAAAGTGAGGGTGTAGGGCTTCCCTGGTGGCGTAGTGGTTGAGAGTCCGCCTGCCGATGCAGGGGACGCGGGTTCGTGCCCCGGTCCGGGAAGATCCCACATACCGCGGAGTGGCTGGGCCCGTGAGCCATGGCCGTTGGGCCTGCGCGTCCAGAGCCTGTGCTCTGCAACGGGAGAGGCCACAGCGGTGAGAGGCCCGCGTACTGTAAAAAAAAAAAAAAAAAAGTGAGGGGTGTAAAGAGTTTTCTGTTATAAAACGTGTAGGATAAAAAGGGTCGTAATAACACAATGGTGTCTGGGAGGGACCTGCAGCGTTGCTCAGGCTCCATTTAAATTCTCCCTCTGCCCGCCATGAAACCTGCCCCCCAGGTATTCTTAAAATGTTGCTCATCTAAATCTTTCACTTATTCTCTAACCACCAAAGCCCAAAGGAAACCAAGGAGCAGGCAGGCCCCTGGCGAGTGGATTATGCCTCCACGCTTGCCGGCCATGCTCTCTGCTCCACTGGTGTCCGTGGACAAGGAGGCTGGGACTGCTGGGCTACAAGTACTGATGCTTTATCCAGCGGAAGTTTGCTTTCTGATGTAACATATAGAGAAAAGAGTCATTTAGTTTTTTAACAAATATTTAACCTACGACCTTGGCATCCCTTATTAAGCAATCCACCCTTTCCTCACTAATTATATCCCATGAGCTCTGATTTAGAACTTTCTACACTGTTTCCACAATGTCCCATTGACTAAATGGCAGTACTCATTATTTTTAACATTTATTTTATTGAACTATTTGTTCCATTGTATTGTATTTTCTTCTCTCCAAAATAGCAAGCCCACTTCATTAATCCTCTCCTTTTCATGAGCTTTATTTGCTGCCCATCTGTTCAAGCCCACTTCATTAATCCTCTCGTTTTCATGAGCTTTATTTGCTGCCCATCTGTTCATACTTGCAGATGATCTTAAGAATGATTTCATTCTGTTCTTTTAAATTAATTTATTTGTTTTTATTTTTGGCTGTGTTGGGTCTTCTTGCTGCGCACGGGCTTTCTCTAGTTGCGGTGAGCGGGAGCTGCTCTGTTGCGGTGCGCGGGCTTCTCATTGCGGTGGCTTCTCTCGTTGCAGAGCGCGGGCTCCAGGCGCACGGGCTCAGTAGTTGTGGCACGCGGGCTCCGTAGTTGTAGCTCGCTGGCTCTAGAGCGCAGGCTCAGTAGTTGTGGCGCACGGGCTTAGTTGTTCCGCGGCATGTGGGGTCTTCCCGGACCAGGGCTCGAACCCGTGTCCCCTGCATTGGCAGGCGGATTCTTATCCACTGTGCCACCAGGGAAGCCCTTCATTCTGTTTTAAGAAAAATAAAATTTGGTGAGATTTCAACTATAATCGAATTAAATTTTAAAATCCATTTGGAAATATTGATAGCTTTACAATATATTTTTCTCATCAAGGAACGTCTTTGTTATTAATTGCTGGATATAGGAAGACAGTTATAATATCGGTTTTGAAATCCCTTAATTATAATAAGCTTCTGGATTTTCTAAGTTAAAAGCCATGTTATTGGATAGGGAGGCTGGGAGGGAGACGCAAGAGGGAGGGGATATGGGGATATATGTATATGTATAGCTGATTCCCTTCGTTATACGGGAGAAACTAACACACCATTGTAAAGCAGTTATACTCCAATAAAGATGTTAAAAAAATAAAATAAATAAAAGCCATGTTATCTGGAAATAATGATAATTTTGTCTACTTTCTCCTTTTTGTAGTAGGTAGCAGAGGGCAGTGTTGTTGTGTAGTGGTGGTTAAGAAAAGACTCATCTTCATCCTGATCTCAGTGGGACGGGAGTGATGCTGGTGTCAGCCACAGGGATGCTACAGGCTGTTGGTTAAGAGATTATTATTATTTTTTTACCTGAAGTCATGATTTATCGGAAGCCATTGCTAAAAGAATCTACAACAAATGGTATTGACATTTTTTTGGTTTTAAATTTTTATTGGAGTCTAGTTGATTTACAATGTTGTGTTAGTTTCAGGTGTACAGCAAAGTGATTCAGATAATATATATATAATGTGTATATCCATATATCTATTCTCTTTCAGATTCTTTTCCATTATAGGTTATTACAAGATATTGAATATAGCTCCCTGTGCTATACAGTAAGTCCTTGTTGTTCACCTATTTTATATATAGTGGTGTGTATCTGTTAATCCCAAACTCCTAATTTATCCCCCCCTTTCCCCATTTGTAACCATAAGTTTGTTTTCTATGTTGAGTCAGAGATTATTTACATATGAAAATAAACCCCTTATTTGGGGATGACAAATGTATAACAAGTTTGGAATGGTTTTTAATCTAAGCCTTTCCACATCAGCTGGGCTCTCGTGTGATCATTTTGGTCACTTTGCCAGCCTGGCAGCCTCCCTGCGCTCCGAGCAGCGGCACGCTGGCTTGTCTGCAGCGTGTGCCCTCCTAATGTGCTGCTGGGTGCTCCTTGCTGGCTTTTTATCTGACTTTTGTAACTATAGTAAAAAAAAAAAAAAAAAAAGAAAATTGGCATAGAGTTCTCCTTTTGTGCAAAGGAATTTGCCACTTTGTGAAATGAATTGGGAAGAAATTCCCATGCCCTGTGACAGTTTACAAAACATGAGGAAGCTCTGCTCCTGGTATAAAGGGAAGATTCGTGCTGCTCAAGCATCTGAGGCCATTGGCTTTCTCTGAAGCAACCCTAACAATTCTTGTGTTTATATTGTCGTGATGTTGAGGTTTCTGTCTTCACTTGTCAGTGTTCTCGGAAGGTGGTGACTTTGAGGCTCTAACACTGACCATTGCATGACCGACTGCCTTTAGGAATCGCCTAGGCTCTTGGTGTGTCATTTTCCTCATCTGTAAAATGAAGCTATAAAAAGAACCACTGGGCTTCCCTGGTGGTGCAGTGGTTGAGAGTCCACCTGCCGATGCAGGGGACACGGGTTCGTGCCCCGGTCCGGGAGGATCCCACATGCCGCGGAGCGGCTGGGCCCGTGAGCCATGGCCGCTGAGCCTGCGTGTCCGGAGCCTGTGCTCCGCAATGGGAGAGGCCACAGCAGTGAGAGGCCCGCGTACCGCAAAAAAAAAAAAAAAAAAAGAACCACTGCGTAAATCTTTGCCTTTTCTTCTGGCTAATACTGTTTATTTTGTGAACTTGCATTTTATAGCCTGTTAGAATAGTGTCAGGGGGCAACCAGAAACTCTAACTGTCCATCTTAACAGTTCCAAATTTCTAGCCCACACCCAAATGGGGTCACTTTTTTCTCTTGTTGACATCCCTCGGGAAGAGCCACGGCCGTGGTGTTTGAGGACCCGGTATGTACTGGTGCTGCCACGACCTTGGGTAAGTCCATGAACTTTCCACTGTGAGCCTCAGATTTTCATCTGAAAAATGTGAGCCTTGTTCTCCCAGGGCCGTGGTAAGGATTACAGGGGGGATTTATGTGGACACACCTGACACTTGATAAGGGCTAGGTGCTCCTTTATGGCATTGAGGCTGGCTCTGGGGGACCCACCTGCAGGATGGAGAGAGCGTGCCGGAGCGGCCACCGGACTGCTCTGGAGACACTGCATGTAGGAGCCCTGTTTTCATGCCCCTTTCACTCCGCCATCACCCCTGTCACGTGCTGGACAGGTGGCCTCTCCCTCAGCGACAGGTCCCTTGAGAACGTTCTGGACTCCTCCCCTCTGCTGCCCAGCCACCCTCTGCCTTCTGTTTTCTCTCCTCCAGAATCGTGTTGACACCTCCCCTTGCTGATACTCCCTCCGGATCTTTTTGATGTTATGGGGTTTTATCTTTTTATTCCTTTACCATATTTTAAGAGGGCCTTGACGTGGTGCAAAGATAGACACGTGGCCACTCTCCGCTCTTGGCCTGGGAGGCTGCTTCTGCTCCTGCAGACCCCCAGCCCTGTGGAGGGACCCCATGGGTCTGGGGTCTGGTTAAGTTGGCTGCCACACACCCCACCATCCCATGAGCCCTCCTGGTGTCCCTTCCTCTTGTACAATCACCTCTGAAACCAGGTGAAAGACCAAGCATCTACTAGTATAGATGACCCTGGTGGCGAAGGGCTGTGCATCGTTATCGTTGTTAGATTCCTTGGGAAAGTCTGGGTTATAAGAGCAATTAGATGGTTTCAAGATTGCCTGGGGGAGGAAAAGGGCAGCGCATTCTGGAGCCCCGCGGGTCGCCAGGAGACCTAGAGCCGCCATGTTCAGTGGTAAAGGCTTAACTTGGAGACACTTTCTGCTCCCCTGCTGCTCCAGGAGCCAGCTGTCCCCTCCTTGGACCAAAACTCACCCCCAGGCTGAGCTGTGCTTTCTTCCCCAGCCGTCCTCGGCCCTCATCTGGCACGAAGCCGGTTTGCAGCCCTGGGCTCCCCACACGGAAGGATGAGGGGAGAACGTGACCGAGGTCAGCGCCTTCATGCTGGTGGGCTTCCTCACGGCCCCAGCTGCCTCCCTCTTCGTGCTGGTGGAGAACCTGGCCGTCATCCTCACCATCTGGGGCAGCTCGTCCCTCCACAGGCCCATTCACTACTTTCCGGGCATCCTGTCATCCCTGGAGATCTGGTACGTGTCTGACACCATCCCTAAGATGCTGGACGGCTTCCTCATGCAGCGGGGACGCATCTCCTTCATTGGCTGCATGACTCAGCTCTACTTCTTCAACTCCCTGGTGTGTACCGGGTGTGTGATCCTGGCCTCCATGGCCTGCGACTGCTACCAAGCCATCATGACCATGGGGCTGTGCGTCCAGCTGGTGGCCTTCACCTTCGTGAGTGGCTTCGCCATCTCTGTGATCAAGGTCTACTCTATCTCCAGCACCACGTTCTGTGGCTCCAATGTCCTGAGCACGTCTTCTGTGACATCTCCCCCATCCTCAAGCTGGCCCACACGGACTTCTCAACCGCCGAGCTGGTCGGCTTTGTCCTGGCCTTCAGCATCCTGGTGTTCCCGCTCATGGCCACCATGCTTTCCTACGGACACATCACCCTGGCCGTCCCGCGCGTCCCCTCGGCCACGGGCCGTCGGCGAGCCTTCTCCACCTGCGCCTCCTACCTCACTGTGGTCACCATCTTCTACACGGCCTTGATATTCATGTACGTCTGGCCCCAGGCCATGGATTCCCGGAGCTCCAACAAGCTCATCTCTGCTGTTTACACTGTCCTCACCCCAGTCATCAACCCCTTGATCTACTGTCTGAGGAACAAAGAATTCAAGGATGCTCTGAAAAAGGCTCTGGACTTAGGTCAACTTTCACAGTAGCACAATTAAATGTCCTATAGTCTAATCTGTGGTGATAATAAAAACAACACCTTATAGGACACTTTACTTTCTTTAATAGTGACAATTTATGTAATTAGTTAATTAATTAGTTTATTTTTGGCTGTGCCACGCAGCTTGCAGGATGCTAGTTCCCCCATCAGGAATCGAACCCGCACCCTCAGCAGTGAAAGTGCAGAGTCCTAACCACTGGACCACTAGGGAATTCCCACTTTACGTTTTTAAAGTAAAATTTTAAATGAAATTTAGCAAACCTACAAAACTGTGAATAAATGATAAGTCTTCATCCGGATTTGGTTTCACAAAAGAACCACACTTATGTCACCAGCACCCAGATCAAGAGTCAGAAGCTACCCTCACAGCCCGTCCCCAAGATTTCCACTATCCGGACTACTAACACCAGATGCCACTTTTGACGTTTTTGATGTTTTTATGAATAAAACCATGAAGGATGATTTTACATTTGACTTCTTGCATTCATTATGATGTTTGAGTGAATCCTCAATGTTTCTGCATGTAGCAATAATACGTGCATATAATGTGTAATATCCCACAGTACAAAGACATCACAATACATTTATGCATTTTACTGTTGGGGATAGAATTATGGATACTGCCTATTATGGATAGTGCCGCTATAAATAACTGGTTTGTGTCTTTTCATGAATGTACATACAGTTTTGTGAGCTGTGTGCTAGGCCAGACCTACGTACATAAAGGCTACGCCTACAATTCCTGCAACAAAACATTCACGTATGATCAGGCTTCATAGAAACAGCAAGACTGTTTCCCCAAGTGGGTGCATGAGAATTCCAGTAGCTCCATATCCTTTCCAACACTTGGCATGCGAAGAATTCTCTCTTTGCCATTCTTCTGGGGTTGCAGAAGAAGTTCTCTCTGCAACCTTAACTCGCATTTCCAATGACCAAGGCTGCTGGGCACTTCTGTAAGTTTAGTGGTTTAATGTCCTTCCGGATGTGCCCTTTCTGGAGGGCCCTTGCAATCAGGTCTTTTGCCTATTTTTATATTGAGTCACTTTTTCTTTTTAACATGCAGGAGTTCTTACATATTCCAGGTCCATGCCCTCTGTTGGTTATATTTACTGCAAAAATGCCCTAGTGTCTGGGCTTGCCTTTCATTCTCTTAATGGCGTCTTTTGATGAAGAGAAGTTCTTTATTTTGATGCCTAATTTGTTCATTTTCCCCGTTTATATTAGTTCTTTATTTTCCATCTGTTTGCCTCCAAGATCATGAAGATATTCTCCTGTTTAATTCCAGAAGCTTTGTTGTCTTACCTTTCATGTTTAGATTCAGTCCATCCGAAACTGATTTTTATTTATGGTATGAGATATGGGTCAACATTAATTCTTTTCTACAGGGATATGAAATTGACAAGAACCCACTATTTATTGAAAAGACCATGCTTTCCCCTCCGCAATGTCACCCTTTTCATAAACCAAATACCTATCTATCATCTATCTATCTATCTATCTATCTATCTATCTACCCTTGTCTCTTTTTGTACTCCTCATTCTGTCCCATTGGTCTGTTTGTCTATTCCTGCACTGTTATTACTACAGCTTTTTCATATATCTTGATACCTGGTAGTAAATCCTCTGTCCTTGTTCTTTTTTCTTCAAGATTGCCTTGGTTATTCTTAGTCCTTCCCAAATGGGGGTTAGGGGAGATACATTTTAGAATCAGCCTGTCAATTTCAACAAAACAAAACTTGGGGGGCTTTTTATTGGGATTCTATTAAATCTATAGATCAATTTGGAGGTAACTGTCCTCTTTACAATTTTGAGACTTTTAATCCAAGAATAAGGCAAATCCTCTCTTCATTTACAAGTTCTTCAATTTCTTGATATACTTTTGTGGTTTTCAGTGTAGGGCTCTTTCACATGTTTCTGGGGATTTGAGTTTTTTGGGTTTTTTAAAAAAAATTCTAACACAAATGGCATCCTTTCTTTTAAATTTTTAAAGTTAAAATTAAAAATTTTTATCTCTCTTGTTGCTGGTACATAGAACACAATTTTTCAAACTTTCTTCTTGAAACAATTACAGATTTACAGGAAGTTTCAAAGAAAGATGGAGGGAGGTTCTGTGCATCCTTCACCCTGTCTTCCCCAATGACACTGTCCTACATGATGGTAGCCTCCACATTGGGACACTGACTTTGATGCAATCCATGGAACTTAGGTTCTACCAGTTATACATGCATTCACCTATGTGCGTGCACGTGTGTGTGTGCGTGCACGTGTGTGTGTGTGTGCGTGCACACGCATACGCGGATACGCTTGTAGCTCTATGCTATTCTGTCAGCTGTGTAGCTTCGTGGACCACCACCATCAAGATATGGAACGTTTCCATCACAACCCCCCATTCCCTAGCCTCTGGTGACCACTAATCAGTTCTCCATCTCTATATAATTTTGTTATTTCAAGGATGTTACTTAAGCAGAATTACATTGTATGTAATCTTCTGAGATGGACTCTCTTCACTCAATATAATTCTCTCCAGGGGTCCAGGCTGTTGCCTGCATCAACAGTCCATTGGTTTTTCTAGCCGAGCAGTGTTCCATGGTATGGGTGTACCACACTTTGTTTAGCTGTTCGCCTTTGAAGAACAGGTGGGTGGTCCTCAGTTTTTAGCTGCTAGGAATGAAGCTGCTATGAACATTCATTCGAGTTCCTCTGTGAACCTAAATTTTCATTTCTCTGGGGTTAATGTTTAAGACTGTAATTGCTAGGCTGTATTACAGTTCATTTTTAGTTTTACACCTTTTCCAATTTGGAAACTGCTAAACTGCTCTTTAGCAGAGCGGCTGTACCTTTTCACATTCTTACTAGCAGTGTATGCGTGAACTAGCTTCTCTTCATCTTCTCCACCATTTGGTGTTATCACTATATTTTTCATTTGGCCTTTCTGATAAGTGTGAAGTGGTATCACTGTGGATTTAATTTACATTTTTCTAATGGCTGATCACAGTTGAACATCTTTTCATGTGCTTATTGCCTATGTGTATAACCTCTTCAATGAAATGTCTGTTCATGTCTTTTGCCCACTTTTTAATTGGATTACTTGTTTCTTACTGTTCAGTTTTGAGATTTCTTTATGTGTTCTAGATGCGAGTGCCTGGTCACACCTGTGGTTTGCAGGTGTCCATCCCCACCCCCATCCCCACAGTTGCTTTTTCATCCTCTAAGAGTTTCTCACAGAGCAAAACTTTAAAAAAATTTTGATGAGGTCCAATTTACCAATTTTTCCTTTTTTGTATTATGCACTTAGTGTCAAGCCGAAGAATTCTTTCCCTAGTCCTAGGACAGTGATGTCCGCTATTTAATTTAAGGTTATTTTGTTTCCTACTGGGATCGCTCTCCCTTTTTAGCTAGGCCATCAGTAAAAGTTGTTAAACACGGAACTTTGTCTTGGGAAGTGAGATGAAGGATGTGTGTTTGCTTGGGGTGAAGCAGGAAACACAACCGGAGTGCTGGAGGGAAGATGCGAATGGTGTGGACAGTGACACAAGGCCAGAGAGTCTGACAGGGAGGTGTCCCCACCCTCACCCCCCCACCCCGGACTTCTCAGACGCGCTGGCAAGGACACGGAGCTTCTCAGACATATCAGAATGTACAGCCAAGCCTTGGGTAATAAGCGGTGATTCCACAGGGCTGGATGACTTAGGGCTACCTGCTCACGCCTGCTCATCCAACTGTATTTGAGGTGCACCTGTGATGTGTTAGGAGCTTTGCTTGGGGCTGGGGGCACAGTGGTGTAGGATCTGGAAGTGACCCATGCTGCTGGACAATGCAGGGTGTAGAACACTATTCTCTCGATGTGGCTCATTTACATCAGAATTAGCTGGAAGCTTGTTAAACACATTTCAGGGCCCATCCCAGATCTTCTAAATCAGACCCTCTGGCACTGGGGACTAGGAATCTGTATTCTGGACAAGCTGGGATTCTCTTATTAGAGAAACAGCCATTGAAAGGACCTTCGTTTTTACAACTCCATGATCATTCTGAAAAGTTGAAAACCAAATGAAATTTAAACAAAAGAAAAGTTAGGGTGTTAAAAACAATAAGCCCGAGGAGAGTGAGGGTCTTAAAGCCTTTTCAAACGGCAGCCTGGTGGGTAAGAAATCTCACATTAAAGTCACCTTCTAACCTGAAAGGAACTGAGGCCCCCCGGTCACTGGATCGATTGAGGTTTTAACAGGGGAATGAGGACAGCTTTTGTTTGCATGTTACTCAAGGAGTTGACACCACCAGGCCCGCCAAGGGGTATGAGACCTTTTAGACCTGGAGTCGTGAGCCAGGCGGGGAGATGGGCCCTGGGGAGGTGGAGGATGCGCGGACCTCAGCCAGGCCGGCCCTGCTGGACAAGCGCCGTGGGTCGGGAAGGTCAGTCTACGGTCCTTCTTCAGAGCCTCTCCGACGCCCGCGCTCGTCCTGGGTCGCTCTCACGCCGGCCCTCCTTTCACCCCCCGCCCCCAGCCCCAGGCCGCCTTCCTACCTCGGGTGGTTTGTGAGCTATGGAGACACTTTCAAGGAGGTGGTTTTGAAGTCCGCACCTGCCGGTCTAGGGAGTGTGGGAGGGTGGGGAGCGTCCCGGACGCGGGACGTGCTGCAGCAGTAACTACGAGATCTGGGGCGGCCTCGGCTCCTCGCACTGCGCGCCCTCAAAACCGGGCAGTGGGCAGGCCTCCCCTTAGAGCCTGGGCGGCGGGAGACCCTCCCCTTGGAGCCCAGGAGGCGGGCGGGCACTACAAGGTCCAGAGGGGACGGACGCCAAGGGAGACCCGAGGTAAATCAGCCCCCGGCTGCGCTCTGCGCGCCTGCGTCCGCCGTCCGGAAGTTCGCGACAGGCGCGGCGCGGGCATCCCGGCAGTGACGTCACTGTGGCGCGCCGGTCGCGGGAGGGGCCCCGTCGCGACGGCGTCCCCTCGGGTCCTTGAGCCGGTGCTGACAGCGGAGCCATGGCCTTGAGGCTGCTGAGACTGGTCCCCGTGTCCGCGACCTCTCGGGGCCTCGCGGCGGTCGTCCAGCGCGTGGT